CAATCCATGTTTCTCACATCAATGTTTCTCTCTCTCCCTTCCTCTCTCTCTGAAAAATCAATAAAAACATTTTTTAAGTATTTTTTATCGATATCATTTAGAGGGAGGGGGGAGATAGAAAAACATCGACCAGCTGACTCCTACACACCCCTACTAGGTATGGAAGCCAGCAACGCAAGCACCTTTCAGTGCACAGATGACACCCAACCAACTGAGCCACACCAGCCAGGGCCTTCTTGAAAGGTCCCTTACATTGGGTCCACTGGGTTAGTCCAGGTTAATCTCGAGGTCCTTAATCACGTGTGCAAAGTCCCTTTAACCTCATGTAAGGTAACATATATTCACAGATTCCAGAGATTAGGATGTGAACATCTTTGGGGGTAATTATTCAGCCTACTACATTTACAATCCATTTATACAGAAACTCTGAGAAAAGGCAAAACTAGAAGCAGACTGCAGGTCAGTAGATGCCAGGACTGCTAGTGGGAGCAGGGGTTGACCATAAAGGGGTACAAAGGAACTGGGGGCTACTATATAATTCATTGATTTTAAGATGCATACTTTTCCCGCGATTTAACACCTAAAATCAGAATACATCTTACAATTGATGGTATGCAATACGCACATGAGAAACTGCTCAACACCATTATCAGGAAAATTCTAATGAAAACCATTGTTAGAGATTACTACCCACCCACTGGACTGGCTAAAATGGAGAAGATTGGCAACACCAAATGTTGGCAAGGATGTGAAGCAAACAGAAATACATTGTTGGTTGTGGGAATAAAAAAGTATGGTTGCTTTCAGAAAGTCTGGCAGTGTCCTAAGAAGCTAAGTATATTTCTTTATGACTATTGCTGTGAAACAGTAATTCAATTCCTAGGTATTCAACCAAGAGGAATGAAAATGTACCTCACAGCCCTGGCCAGTCTGGCTCAGTAGTAGAGCGTCGGCCCACGGACCAATGAGTCTCAGGTTCGATTCCGGCCAAGGGCACAAATCTCGGTGGTGGTTCATCCCTGGCCCTGGTCGGGGTCGTGTGGCAAGCAACCAGCCAATGTGTCTCTCTCACATAGATGTTTCTCTTTCTCTCCCTCCCTCTCCGTCTGAAGATAAATAGAAAAATATCCTTGGGTGAGGATTTTTAAAAAATGTACCTCACAGCCTGGCCAGTGTGGCTCAGTGGATTGAGCATCGTCCATGGACTGTGAGGTCCCAGTTCAATTTCCGGTCAAGGCACATGCCCAGGTTTCGGGCTCAATCCCCAGTAGGTGGGTGTGTAGGAGGCAGTCAATGGATGTTTCTCTCTCTCTCTCTAAAAAAAAAAAAAAAAAATCAGTAAAAAATATTTTTAAAAATGTACCTCCAGCCCTGGCTGGTTGGGCTCAGCAGTTAGAGCATCAGCCCGCAGACCAGGGAGTTGCAGGTTCGAATCCAGTCAAGGGCACATATCTTGGTTGCTATTCCAATCCCCTGGTTGGAGTTGTATGAGGCAACCAGTCAATGTGTCTCTCTCACATTGATCTTTCTCTTTCTCTTTCTCTCTCTCTCTCTCTCCCTCCCTCCCTCCCTCCCTTCCACTCTATCTGAAAATCAATGAAAAAATATCCTCGGGTGAGGATTAAAAAAAAAAGAAATGTACCTCCACAAAGAGTCTATATAGGAATCTTCATAGCAGTTGTTTCTTTGTTTTACTTAGAAAGTCACAGAAATAGAAGCGAGCCAGCTGGGATGTGTGGGCTCAGAAAACAAGTTACAGAAGCAAAAGAAGGCCCTTTGGAGCTTAGAAAAAAGAAAGCAAGGATAGCCTAGCCAGTATAGCTCAGTGGATTGAGCGTCATCCCATGGACTGAGAGGTCCCGGTTCTATTCAAGGTCAGGGCACAAACCTGGGTTGTAGGCTCGATGCCTGGTGGGGGGCATGCAGGAGGCAGCCAATCGACGTTTCTTTCTCTCTCCCTTCCTGTCTCTCTAAAAAATAAATAAAAAAATATTTTTAAACAACAGAAAGCAAGGATATATACACCTGGGGGAAGGAGAGGAAAAAAGGCTTGGAAGAGAAAGAATCTTCATAGCAGTTTTTTGGTTTTTTTTATCCTCATCTGAGGACTTTTTTTTTTTTCATTTATCTTCAGATAGAGTGAGAGGAGGAGAGGGGGAAAGAGAGAGAAACATCGATGTGAGAGAGACACATCGACTGGCTGCTACCCACACGACCACAACCAGGGCCGGGGACAAACTGCAACTGAGATATGTGCCCTTACTGGGAACCAAACCCGGATCTCTCTGGTCCGTGAGCTGACGCTCTAACCGCTGAGCAAAACCGGCCAGGGCTTCATAGCAGTTTTATTTACCATAACCAAAACTGAAGAGTCCAGATGACCATCAACAGGAGAATGCATAAACAAATTGTGGTATATTCACAACACAGAAAAGTCCACAGCAGTTACGAAGGGATAAACTCATGCAACACACCACAAAATATCTCAAAAACATTATGTGCCTGGCCGATGTGGCACAGTGGCTGAGCATCAAACCCTGCACCAAGAGGTCATCGGTTTGATTCCCGGTCAGGGCACATGCCCAGGTGTGGGCCAGATCCCCAGTGGGGGGCATGCAGGAGGCGCCCAATTGATGCTCGCTCACATGTATGTTTCTCTCTCTCTCTAAAAACCAATAAAGAAAAAAAAAAACATTATAAGTAAAAGAAGCCAAACACAAAAGACTACCTATCACGTGATTCCATTTTTATGACATTCCAGAACAGGGTGCTCTATGGTGCAAAGAATCAGAATAGTGGGGTGTGGGAGTGGAGAGTGACTGGATCGGGGCAGGAGGGAACTTCCTGGAGTGATGGAGATGTTCCATATCTTGCTGGTGCTTGGGGTTAACAGTTATGTACATTTAAGATTCATGCATTTTCACCCTGGCCAGTTTGGCTCAGTGGTTAGAGGGCCAAACAGGCGCAGGTGCAGTTCCCCGTCAAGGGCACGGACATGGGTTGCGGGTTCCATTAAGGCATGTGCAGGAGGCAACTAATCAATGTGTCTCCATCACATCGATGTTTCTCTCTCTCTCTCTCCCCCTTCCTCCCTCCCACTCTATCTAAAAATCAATGGAAAAACATATTCTCAGGTGAGGATTAAAGAAAAAAAAAAAAAAGATTCATGCATTTCACTAATAAAGTTCTATCTCCCAAAAAAGAAGAAAAGTACCAGTTAATGGTATCCATACTGAAGTATTTAGGGGTGAGAGCATTGATATCTGCAACTGTCTTTGAAGTTAATTTAAAAATTGGATGAACTGGTCCAGCTGGGGTTCAGTGGTTGAGCCTTGACCCACACACCAAGAGGTCACCGGTTCAATTCCCCATCAGGACACATGCCCAGGTTGTGGGCCAGATCCCCAGTGGGGGGCATGCAGGAGGCAGCCAACTGATGTTCTCTCTCATCCATGTTTCTATCTCTCTCTCCCTCTCCTTTCCTCTCTCTCTAAAATCAATAAAGAAAAAATATTTTTAAAAAATTTGGATGAGCCCTGGCCAATTTTGCTCAGTGGTTAGAGAGCTGGCCCACGGTCCTCGGTTCCTGCTAAAGGCATGTACCTTGGTTGCAGTTTGTCCCCAGCCTTGGTTGGGGGTCATGTGGGTGGCAACCACTCAATGTGTACAACCTCCTGCATGCTCCATCTGAAGATAAATGCAAAAATGTCCTCAGGCGAGAATAAAAAAAAAAAAAAATTGGATGAATTGATGGATAGAAGAACAGATATAGAGATAAGGGATAAAATAGATATAACAAAACATTAGCTAGTGATGTGGATTCTAAGCAGAAAAACAGATGGTTATTGTACAGTTCATTTACCTTTTCTGCATGTTTGAACTTTTCATAGCAGAATCTTTGGAAACATGTGGCTGCTCATTGCTGTGTAACTGGTAGCCGTTTCTCTGCCTTGGTGATTTACAAAATAATGGTATCATCATAAGATCAAGGACATATGGTTATTATAAAGGGTAACAATTTTGTGGCTCCCCAAATATCCATGCCTCTCATTTCCCAGTGGGCCAAGGCAATTAACAGGTAGAGAGAGTCCTCATTAATCTCTCTCCCACTGCGGGTGACGCAGAGGCCCTTTGCTGGTGAAGCAAATACGACTCTCCCACCGGCCATTGAGGACGAGGTGGTCACTGCAGCGTAGCCTAGCCCGACTAACCTGGGTTGGGGCCCGGGGAGCTTTCATTAAAAAATAAATTAATTAATTAAAAAAAACCACTAAAATAGATGGCCTGTCAGTTAAGTTGCTGTCTAGGCTCCAAACTCGCCCTTCCTCGCTCGGTGGTGACACCGGTGGGGCCACGCTTCGCCGCGGAAACAGACGCGCGCTGGCTGGTTTCGGGGGTCGCGCCTGGGGCCAGTAGCACGGCCGAAGGACGAGGCTCAGAAGCACGCGGGGGAGCGAAGCAGCAGGCCCGAGAGCGGGCGTGGGCGTGGTCGCGCGCACTAAGGCCCAGGCCGTGGAGCCAAAAGGCAGCCCGGGGCAGCATGAACCCAACCCGGCACAGCTCTGCGGGACCCTTGCCTATGGGTGACCCCAAGGAACAGACGCGGAGAAGACAAGGAGTCGCCGGCCTTCGTGTCTGGTGGAACGGGAGCTCAGAAAAGACGAACTCTGGTTGTGGAATCGGCCACGCAGCCTCCTCCTGACCCGTCTCTGCGGGTCACACCTGGCCCTGCCGGAAGTCCCGCCTCCGCGCTCCGGCCGCTCTGGCCCGCGAGGGCCCATCTCGTTGGTGAGCTCGGCGCCTCTCCGCTGCACTGCGCTCCTCCAGCCGCCAGGGGCGGGCGAGACCACAGAAGGGCCTCTCTGGTCCGCGACGGGCGCTCGACTGCTCCGCAGAGCGGTCCGGACGTGCCCCGAGGCCACCGCCTCCCGGCCGTTCCCCCGGCAACGCCTCCCGGCCGTTTCCCGGGCAACGCGCTGCTAGCTGCCGCGGTCTCGGCTATGGACGCGGGGTCGGGCGCCGGCCCCCGCCCGGGTCGCGACCGCCTCGATGTGCCGTCCTCCGGTGCGCGGGCTCCGGTGACGCCCTGGGCGCGCTTCTCGGCCTGGCTGGAGTGCGTGTGCGTGGTCACCTTCGACCTGGAGCTGGGCCAGGCGCTGGAGGTGAGTGGGGGGCGGGGAGGGTGGTCGTCGCGCTGCCGCGATCCCTCTGCGCGTGGGGTGCAGTCCGGCGGACACGCAGGTGGCCTGTCCCTCCTCCGAAACTCTGTGCCTGTCACCTCCTGAACAGGGCGCCCTCCAGCAAAGGAACGAAAGGCCGATTTCCCACTGGATGGGGGGGTCAGGGGGGCTGGGGGCCCTGCACTTAGGATAACCAAAGCCATACCGTTGACTTTTCATCAAGAAAAATGGCTCGTTTCCCCCGTCTCCACACTAGCTACGGCACCTTGTCCCCTCCTTGCTCAGCCAGAATCCCAGGGGTCACCCTGGACTCCTCCCATCCCCCCACTGCATATCCCAAGGCTGACAGTTTCCCCCGCCGCAAGGAACTCAGGTCCTGGCCTCCGCTGCTCGAACCCCCTCCTTGGAGTCTGTTCTGCTTAAATCCGTCGGCACCTCTTCGTTCACTTGGAATCAGATCCAGACCCCTCGGGTCCCATTCCAGCCATACTGGCCATCTTCCTCTTCACCGGCCTGGGACCTGGGGTGGGGGGTGAGGGATGTTTTGAGTGGCGCCTTGCTGAACTCTGCAAGGCCATGGGAAGCCCAAGTCTTTGAAGACAGGAAAGGCTAACTCTTAGATCCTGGCACGGTGCCCAGCTCTGTGGAGACCCCATCCACCACACCCATACCCCCCAAGGCGTGCATTATTGTGACAGCCTTACTGACAAAGGAGTCTGAGCATAGAGAGGTGAGGCGATTTGCCCAACGTCACAGGGTCCACATTCTTACTGTTGTCCAAATTGTTCCCCATAAAATCACAAGAGAAGCCCTGGCCAGGTAGCTCAGTTGGTTAGAGTGTCATCGGGATACACCAAGGTTGCAGGTTTGATCTCGGGTCAGGGCACATACCCAGGTTGCAGGTTCAATCGTGCAGGAGGCAACCAATTAATGTTCCACTCTCGCATCAATGTTCTCTCTCTCCCTTTTCTTTCCTCTCTCTAAAATCAATAAAAGTATGTCCTCAGGTAAGGATTGAAATACTACTACTAATACTAATGAAATCATAAGAGAAGGTTCTGGCCAGGTAGCTCAGTTGGTTAGAGTGTCATCCGGATACCCCATGGTTACGGGTCCAATCTCCTCCGCTCAGGGCACATATAAGAATCAACCAATGAATGCATACATAAGTGGAAAAACAATCGATGTTTATTTTTTTCTCTCATCTTTTCTTTCTAAAATCAAGAAAAATTTTTTAATTACAAGAAAAGTTAAGAGGTTCTTTTGTTTCCTTAAGGTATTATCATGTACAATTTTCTAGAATTGAACCATTTGGAAAGTAAATTCTGAGCAAGTAGTCTTAACAGCTCTGCATGTGTGGGCTTCTGAGCCATTGATGAGGCTGCACAGCTCAGGAAGGGGGTGTTGGGAACCCAGAGCCCCTCAGAATCATCAAGTCTGTTCAGAGACCCAGCTGGGGACCCGTCGGGCAGTGTGGCCGCACAGCTCTCATCAGGTTTGCCTCTTGCCTTTCCTCCTCCCCTGGAAATGGTGCAGAAGACCAGGGGTCATTTCAACTGAACACACGCAAGCTTTCAGGGACCACTGTGCTCACTTGTTCACAGCTCTGCATGACCGAGCACCACAAGGGCCGTGGCACTATGCTTGGAGCTGGGACACGGACAGAAGACCCAGGGGTTGCCTTCTAGAAGCTCCTTGAACAGAAGCAGTTCCAAGGAAGGAATGAGGTGTGGCCAGATCTTAGAGGATGGGAAAGAGGCAGCTGAACCAGGGAGAGGGGCCTGTTTCAGGTAAACCCTCTCCACAAAAAGTGAGCAAAAGCAAAGGCAAGGAGCTTTCATTCATCTACTCCATAAATCAAGTGTTCAGCATTTGCCACCAGCCAGGCCCCGTGGCACCGGTGCTGGACTTGGGGACACAGAGTAAACGAGAAGATGAGGCCCTGCTCTCCAGGAATTCATGTTCTGTGCCTGAGACACGGAGAGTGAGTGGTTCAGCCCCACCACCACCACCACTACCATTGCAGTGATGTGTGGTGTGGGACCCCCCTACAGATGTGTGATTAAGCTTGTGGCCAGACCCGCTTTGAAAAGGACCTGGCTCCACAGTCTTTGCTTTTGGAAACTCACCTCTCAGGATCTCAGCTCACCTGGGAAGCCTGTGGAGTGAACTGCATCAAGAGGACCCAAAAAGCCCTTCTGCACTGTGGTACCTACACCCTCCCAGGCCATAGCTCCATCACTGAGCCATCTCTGGACGCTTTACAGTCTTGTATAATGATTGAGGACCCCAAAGAGCTCTGTGCATGGGTCATATCTCTCCATGTTGACTATACTAAAAATTAAAACAAAAAAATGTTAAATAGTTATTAATCCATTGTCAGAAACAACTACTCTATGTATTAATATAAATATTAACATTTTCATGAAAATGACCATGTTTTCCAAAATAAAATTTGGTAAGAAGAGAGGCATCATTCAACACTCTTATAAACCTTTTTAACATCTGGCCAAATAGAAATTAGCTGGATCCTTTTTTTTTTGGCACGTGCCCCTAGCGGCCAAGAAACCCGGGACTCTCTGGTCCGCAGGCCAGTGCTCCAACCGCTGAGCCAAACCGGCCAGCGCTCTGCTGGATTCTTACATCAGCTTCTGCAGTCAGCGTCCCACAACTGTCTGTGCCTTCCTCAGGGACGGCTGGGTTACAAGAGCAGCGCCCCATGCAGGCCGGCTCAGGAGGAGGAGACCGGCCCTCCTGGGGCTTGGCGGGATGTCTTCCCGCTGCACAGCTCCTCGCTCTCGCCTGTCCCCGAGAGTCCACTGCATTCTACCCTCCCTGAGGCAGGTCCAGCCTGGATGGCCTTACTGCCAGCCTCAGCTCCCAGGATAGGGTGCTCCAGCTCCTGAACGTGGTCCCCCATCGCCGTTCTCATGGGGTCCCATGGAACCTGCAGGCCGAGGTGGCCTGCAAGACTCCCAGCTCTGTCAGACCAGATTCGGACTGCTGGCCTCAGCACAGAGGGTCCATCATGGCTCCGCTGACTGCCAGGCCCTGGCCTCTCCTAGGCCCTGCTGGACACAGACACGAGGGCGTATCCTTGACCCCTCCCTCTCATGGAGCCATCCCGAGGTGCCTGCCTCTGGGATCCTCAGCTCCCCTTCTTGGCCCTTCTGTCCTGATGCCCCCTTAGCTGACATCTGGAGGTTTCCACAGCACACGCCTGTTCTGTCACACCTCACAGATATGCTGTCTCCCTGTACACGTGCATATTTGGGGATGTCTGCTCCGTGCCAGGGGCCGGGGGGCAGGAGTACCTGGGGTGCAGTGCCTGTCCTCAGGCAGGAGCAGGAGACACAACAGCAAGCCTGGAGCAAACTCAGATAAGAGGCTGCATCACTCCCACAGCATGTTCCAGGGGCAGCTCCAAGCCCCATCGGGGGCTGGGGCACACCCCAGAAGAAGCGGGGTTCCAGCCGAAACCTGACTCTCTGCACAGATGTGGGCAGTTGCAGTGAGGAGAGCATACGTGGGTGCAGGCCCTCAGCTCCTGGCCTACAGAGGCTCCCGGCGTGGCCCTTCCTGGCAGAGATGTCCAGTGCACTGAGCACAGGCCACCACAGCACTGATGGAGCCAGGGGCCACCCGGGGACCTGGCGGGCGTGGAGCTCTGGGGCTCCCTGCCTCTTTGGTGCCCTACAAGGAAATCCATTTTGGCCCGTGCCTTGTGCACGGAGCTCGGGCCCGAGGTCCAGCTGCAGCCTGCTGCCTCCCCCAGAGTGCAGCCTGTCTCTGTTCTGTCACGCTGGTCACTTAGCGTCTGGGCTCTCACTGACCGTCCAGTCCCAAGGGGTGTATGACTTGTCTCGCTGGTCACACTCACTGAACACTTGGGAGCCCAGGGCATGTTCCTGGAGCTCACACTCTGGGTGAGGCACAGGCCAGAAGCTCCCGGACCCTGGCTGGTGGGGGCTGGGGTGAAGACGCTCAGGTGCTGTGGAGAGGCAGCGATGCCACTGTGTCAGGTGACGTCCGTGTAAAGACAAGATGAGGGGCTGGCGGGCCCAATCTGAATGAGCATTCTGGGGGAGGGCATAGCCTAAGACCATCCGGCTGGGAGGGATGGGGCTCAGGAGGTGGAGAGGGCGGGGAGAGCAGGGCCAGCAGGCAGGGCCTGTAACCGCTCCAGGTGAGAGGAGGCCACAGGTGGGCTCTGAAACACCTCCCGAAGCTGTGGGACAGAGGGCCAGGATGGTGGAGTCAGGGAGACACGACTGCAGTCTAGGCAAGTGCCTTGAGGGCAAGGGCTGCAGAAAGGGAGCCGGGAGCTGGCCTCGCTGTGTGCTGGCCCCGGCAAGAGGAGTCTGGAGTGGCCTCGCTGGGAGCACCTGGGGAGTGCGGGAGCCTCAGGGAGCCAGGGGCAGAGGGCAGGAGGGTCAGCGAGTGAGGATGTGCTCTGGGCGGGCACAGAGGACCACACCCACAGCCCAGCACCACCCTGCCCAGCCATCACTGAGCACTCTGTGTCCCCACAGCTGGTGTACCCCAGCGACTTCCGGCTCACAGACAAGGAGGTGGGTCCCGGCCCTCTGGGGAGCAGACACCGCCCAGGAGCGAGCCAGCCCTCACTGGTTTCATGTGTTTCAGAAAAACAGCATCTGCTACCTGTCCTTTCCTGACTCCCACTCAGGTAGGTGACTCCAACAACCCCACCCCACCCTGGCTCAGGGACGGGGGGGGGGGGGGTGAGAGGCAGAAGGTGGGGAGGGGAGGCTGTCCAGGAGCCCCCCTGGCCCAGGCCAGGCGCATCACTGCCTGTAAGCGCCAGCCACTCCTCGCTCTGGGGGGCCAGAGTCCCACTGTGCGGCAGAGGCAGTCAGGTTCCCCTTATTTGTATGGGAAGAGGAACCAGCGGGGTCTGGTCTCCTTCACCCCACCACTGTGACCACCAGGTGCTGGGCAGGCTGGCCCACCACACTGCGGTCTCCCAGCTGCCCCTGTGCTTGGACAGTGCCTGCTGCCCATGCTTCTGTGTTCAGATCTTACTCTGAAACTCTTGGGTGCAGGAGTTAGGACACGGGGGCTTCTGTCGGGAGACCCAGACCAGCAAGCGGGGCTTTCTCTCTCGGGCCTCCGCAGCCGTCAGAAGTCAGATTCACAGGGCCCTCGCTGGTCCCTGCTGTCTCCACCCACACTTGGAGGCGGGAGGGGCTCCAGCCCTTATGTGGAGTGGCAGGGCTGCCTCCCTTCCCAGGCTGCCTTGGAGACACCCAGTTCAGCTTCCGAATTCGCCAGTGTGGAGGGCAGAGGAGCCCCCGGACCACCGACGACAGGCTCTACAACAGCGAGGCTCCCCTGTCCCTGCAGGTGAGTGGGCTGCCTCTCCAGCCGCTCTGCCACCTCTGCCCACGGCAGGGTCAGGCTGGTATGGCAGTCCCTTCAAGGTGCCTGGGGCCTGTGCAGCAGGAGAGGCACTGACCAGCCCCAGCCTCAGTGGGGTGGGCCAGCTCTTTTGGGGGGACTCCCCAGGGTCCCTGGAGCTCTGCCTGTGCACTACGCATGCAGCAGGTGTGGCTTAGTGTGCAAAGGCCTGCATGTGTGCTCAGGGGCTCCGGGCCCTGGGCTGCTCCTCCCTGTCTGTGGAGATGCTCCCTCTAGAGGTGTTGCCCACCTTCTGAATGGAGGATGCCCAGGCCTGACCCCCGAACTGGGGAGAGCATGGAGCAGCCTCTGCAGGGCGTTCTGGGTGGGCAGGAGGAGCATGGTGAGTGGGCACAGCCTGGCTGACCACTCCTTCCAGAAGGAGTCAGCACACTACTTTGGCTACGTGTACTTCAGGCAGGTGAAGGACAGCTCTGTGAAGAGGGGCTACTTCCAGAAGGTGAGCCGCGTGGCCTCTCGGAGGTGGGACCACCAAGAGGCAAGGCCCTTCGGCTGTGGGAGGGGCTAAGGGGCCAGGGGTCCTGAGCCTCCTGGTGTGCCCACCCACAGCCACTTGGCACCAGGTGCATCGCACCGCCTTGGGCTATGCCAGCCATCCACCTGGGCAGCAGGCAGGAGCTGCCCCAGCGCCCATCTCTTGCCGTGTCCCCGCCAGGGGCGGCTCCACAGCCCCTTCCTCGCCCAGCACAGCCCCCTGGGCCCCAGACATCCCTGCTTCTCACTGCTGGCTGGAGAGGGGACTGGTCACACTTTCAGGATTAGTACTTTGTCCTTGAACTCAGACACCTAAAGGAATCTTGGCCCCATGCATTTCCTTCTGGAGGCCCGGGGTGCAGCCCCTCCCTGAGGTCACTGGGTCTCCCCTCCCCACCCCTGCCCTCTGGGGAAGGCTTTGGTCTTCTCATCTAACTGTCCTGAGGTCTGAGTGGGGCCTTCCTGGGGACAGTTGTCACGGGGCTGGTGGGACGCATGGCCCTGGGTGGACTCTGGGTGAGCCAGGCCTCAAGGGTCCCTGCAGACTCCTGAGTGGCTGGGTGGCCTCTCACCGGCCCTGTGGGCCCTGCAGTCTCTGGTGCTGGTGTCCCGCCTGCCCTTCGTCCGGCTGTTCCAGGTGCTGCTGAGCCTGATCGCCCCCGAGTACTTTGACAAGCTAGCGCCCTGCCTAGAAGCAGGTGAGTGACCATTAGGCCAGCCAGGGAGGTCTCATTGTCCAGCTGTAGAACCCAGTGGCTTTGGCAGGCAGCTCCCACATGGGGCAGACTCCTGACACTGACCCCGTATGTCCGCAGTGTGCAATGAGATTGACCAGTGGCCGGCCCCAGTACCTGGGCAGACCCTGAACCTGCCTGTCGTGGGAGTCATCCTCCAGGTGAGGGCTGGCCGGCTGGGGCGGGAAGGCTCCAAGTGCATGGAGGTACCCACTCCTGGCCGGCAGCTGCTCCTTCCATCCCCCAGGTGCACGTCCCATCCAGGGTGGACAAGCCTGAATCCAGTCCTCTGAAGCAGTGTGGCCAAGAGGTGGGGTCCCCTCCTGGGCTAGTGGCAGGGTACCTGCATCGACCCTCCCACCTGCCTGGGCCTCCCCACCCTACCTGTTGGGAGCTCTGTGGGGGGCCAGACACCAGGTGCAGTCAGGGGCTTGTGTCTGAGTGCAGGGCTGGGTACGCCCCGTCCTGTGCTGTGGTGGGTGGGGATGGAGAGGTGTGCGGGCAGGGGCTGCAGTCCCCAAGGCTCTCCTTGTGAGAGGTGCTGCTTGGGGCTTATTGAGTAGCAGCCTTGCCCACAGACTGATGCCACCCACTCCTCCTTTCAGAACCTGCTGCCCACCCCGCTGGTCCTCACCAGTGTCCATGAGCTGGACCTGTTCAGGTGAGCCCTGTAGGCCACTGCTCGATGCCTGGGCAAGGCAGGGGCCGCTGGGGACGCTGCCCACCAGGAATTAACCCTTGGCCAGTTCTGTGAGGGAGAATTGTACTGAAGAGGAACCCAGTGCCCGGTGTCTGCACCCAAGAGGAAATGGGCACAGTGGGCAGGAAGGTTCCAGAAGACAGGTGCAGGGAGGGGAGGGCTATGTTGGGAGGCAGCCACTGCTTGCGGCTGCCCCCTCAGTGTGGGCCTCTGAGGGAGCCAGGCTTTGGTGATGATCCTGCCCTGGCTGGGCTCCACAGGCCCAGGGCTGCCGGCTCAGGCATGGGGGTGCAGGGCCAGGCCAATGTGGGTGGACTGGCAGAGCGAGGGGAGGCCCTGCGTACCCTGGGCATTTCCAGACATTCTTCCCCCTGGGGCGGTGCATCCACCTGAGGGAGCCAGCCTGTGCTCTGGGGAGGAGCCTGCCTCTGTCCAGACATTCTTCCCCCTGGGGTGGTGCATTCACCTGAGAGGGAGCCAGCCTGTGCTCTGGGGAGGAGCCTGCCTCTGTCCAGCCTCCCCAGCCTCCCCCCCCACACCAGGAGCTTGCAGCCTGTGCTGACCCACGTTCAGACACTGTGGGAGCTCATGCTCCTCGGGGAGCCCCTGGTGGTGTTGGCGCCCTCGCCCACGGTGTCCTCAGAGATGGTGCTGGCCCTGACCAGGTAGGCCAGGCTGCGGCGGGAGGGAGGTGGGGGCACCAGGCCTGCCCAGCTGTGCTCAGAGGCCTGCTGGGCCTGCCTCCAGCTGCCTGCAGCCCCTCCAGTTCTGCTGCGACTATCGCCCCTACTTCACCATCCATGACAGCGAGTTCAAGGAGTTCACGACGCGCACTCAGGCCCCGTAAGTACAAGTGCGGCGCCCTCTCTGCCCATCCCATCCCCCACCTCCGCACCCCACAAACCTCGCCCCCTCCCACCCCCACCCAGGGCTGCCTCCTGCGCCTGCGCTGCTTCTTCTCTCCCTGTCTCTCCTCTCTAGACCAAACGTGGTCCTGGGGGTCACAAACCCTTTCTTTATCAAAACACTCCAGCACTGGCCCCACATCCTCCGTGTGGGGGAGCCCAAGATGTCAGGTGAAGCTGGCCTGGCCTCTGCCCCGGTCCTGGGGGGCGGGGGCTCAGAGGCTCACCCAGTGAGGGTCGCGGGCCTGAGCCTGTGGGCACCGAGGCCAACCAGCAGTGTTTCCTGTTTCCTAGGGGGCCTGCCTAAACAGGTCAAGCTGAAAAAACCCTCCAGGCTGAAGACCCTGGACACCAAACCAGGTGTGTGCCCCTGGGGCGGAGCCGGTCCTCTCCTGGGACCCAGGCCTGGGCTCTGCGTGGGGGGAGGGGGGAGGGCAAGACCCAGGTGGGTTGGGCTGTGGAAGTGTAGGAGGGTGACCCTTCGGGACAGGACCACAGCCCGCCCGCCCTCCCTCCAGGCCTCTACACCGCATACGCTGCGCACCTCCGCCGCGACAAGGCCCTGCTCAAGCGGCTGCTCAGGGGCCTGCAGAAGAAGCGGCCGGCAGGGCTGCTGACCGCGCTGCTGCGGCGGCACCTCCTGGAGCTCACGCAGAGCTTCTTCATCCCCCTGGTGAGGCCGCGGGCAGGGCTGACACCCCGAGATCCCGGACCCCAGGCGGAGGCCCCAGGCTCACGCCCCTCCCCCCACAGGAGCACTACATGGCCAGCCTCATGCCCCTGCAGAAGAGCCTCTCGCCCTGGAAGGTAGGGCTCAGGTCCAGGTGGCAGTCCAGGGAGGGACTGGCAGGCGGCTCCTTCCTGATTCTAGAGGAAGAGGTGGGGAGGAGGTTGTGGGTGTGCGGGAGTACCCAGGGCTCCAGGCCATCCCTGCGCCTACCAAATGTCCCTTACAGGACAGAGAAATGGGGCCACACTGAGGGGCTCGAGTCCCTCCTCTCTGGGATCTGCCCCAGTCAGGATGGGGGCCTGGGACGCGTCCTGGAGGAGGGTCTTGGCCAGCCCAGGTGTAGGCCTGTGAGGCTGTTCCTGCCTAGGCAGCAGGGCTCACCTGGTCCTGTCTCAGACCCCTCCCCAGATCCGCCCCTTCCGCCAAGATGACTTCCTGTGCAGCCTGGAGCAGGCTGGGCCCCAGCTCACCTGCACCCTCAAGGGCGACTGGCTGGGCCTCTATAGGTGGGTAGACGCCAGTGGGGGCTGAGGCTCCTGCTGCTGGTGGGTATCGGGTGCCGTGTCCAACCCGTGATGGGGTCAGCTACACAGCCGCTGCCTCTCGTCACCCATAGGCGGTTTTTCAAGTCCCCCCACTTTGATGGCTGGTATCGGCAGCGGCGCAAAGAGATGGCCCATAAACTGGAGGCCCTGCACCTGGAGGCCATCTGTGAAGCGGTAAGAGGGGGCTGGGCTGGGGGTGCCGGGGGAGGGCCTCGGTGATGGGTAGCTCCATCTTTTCATGGCAGAACATCGAGACCTGGATGGAGGGCAAATCCGAGGTGGAGGTCGTGGACCTGGTCCAGAAACTTCGGGAGAAGCTGGTGAGGTGTCTCCTGCCCTGCCCTGCCCAGCCTGGGCCAGCTGGACATGGGGGCTGCTCGGCCTGACCAGCACTGCCCCTGCAGGTGCGGGCACAGGGCCACCAACTCCCTGTGAAGGAGGAGACGCTGCAGCAGGCCCAGCTGTATATCGAGACAGTCATCGGCTCCCTGCCCAAGGACCTGCAGGCCGTCCTGTGCCCTCCCTAGGACAGGGCTGAAGGGCGTGGTCCAAGGGCCTTCATGCCACTGGGAACCTTGGTCTGGCCAAGCTCCCTTCTCTCCAGTGAGGGGCAGCCCCAGTCAAGCATGAGCTCTCTGACCCAGGCTCCCTGCTGTTCCCTGTCTTGGCCCCCTGCCCAGCACCTCTATTGTCCCAGCAGTAAAGGTGGCATTTGGAACCTCAGCCTAGCCCTGACTGTTGATTAATCACGTATTGGCCAGGGCCTCACCTCCCCCTGGGCCCCACCTGCACGCTGCAGGGCTGCAAGCTGGGGGCAGGATGGGGCTGGCTGTGAGCCCTTGCTGCTCTGAGCCTGGGGTTCCTGCCCTCTCCAGGACCCATCTGCTCAGCCCTGTGGGACCCCAGGCATTACATTTGATGTGTATTTAGCCGCACCAGGCTGCCCAGCCCAGGACAGAAAAAAGGCAGCTGACAAGCAGACCCCTCTCCTCACACAGCCCACCCACCGTCTTCCTGGGGCTGGGGGTACCTCAAAGACAGTCATGGCCTTGGGAGGGGTGAGGAACTTGGCCAAGTGATTCCTGGTTCCTTGGGAGGCCACTAGGGGAGCAGTATTGGGCCCAGCCATTGGCCCCCACCTCTGGGGCATTGTCCCAGGTCCCATCCCTGGAGCACCCCACCTGGCACCATCTCTGTTCTTTCTGCCCCACAGCTACTCCGTTGATGGGCACTTGAGTTACCCCATGCCTATCCACTGCCACATGCAGCCTGAGTGGCTTTGGACTCAGCCAGACCTGCCCCGAAGCCAGAGCCCTCCACAGCCACAGCAGCCACCGGGCACCAAGCTCTCAGAGGTGGCACACCCCCAGCCAGGTCCAGTGCTGTCTGCATGCTGTCACAACTCAGCACAGGGTGGCCAGTGTCAGCCCGCAGAAGGGTGGGTGTGAGGCAGGGGCCTAGCGCTGTGGGCCTGCGGGGGTCTCCCAGCCTCCTGCCCTCAACCCCTCACCGGAAGGGCGAGGCCAGGCCTGCAGTGGGGTTTGACCACCTCCTTGAGCCAGTCTTGGCAAGGTGAGCAGGTGCAGGCTGGGCAGGGTCCCTGTCCCTCCTGAAGCCCCTACTCAGTGCGTGCCCCTGGATGGGGCATTCACTGATGCCTCCGCTGTCGTGCTGGACGGGAACTGTGCTGGTCTCAGAGCACCTGGCGTCAACTTGTCTGGCCCTGACCAGAGCCTAGGACAGCCTGTCACAGTCCCCATTCTACACACAGCTGTGCCCAGAACATGGCAGCGGCAGGCAGCGGCAGGAATTCCATTTTTGCAGAAGGAATAAGCTGGAAGCACTGGAGTGAGAAAGGTTCCGCATTGGCCCCAAATGCCACCTGAGAAGCCTGCCCCTGGCTGTCTGGTTTGGAGGGCTAGCCTTCCCACCAAGTGCATGGTCTCCAAGGGGGTCTGCAAGGACCCCAGCACCTCCCTTTTGACAGGCTAGCTTTCCAACCTCCACAAGAAAGGGCTGAGGGACAGCGGAGGCCCTACCATCAGCCACCCTCCCTCAGCCCTCTTCCAAGCTTCATCCTAATCTTAACTCCACTGGCTGGAGAGCCGGTCCTGGGCCCCCACACTATAACCAAATGGGGGAGTGCTGAGGGGAGAGGAAGGGAGAGGGGTCAAAAGAAGCAGACACCCCTCCCAGCAGAGCCCCAGGGCAGAAAGGTCTGGATAGACAGCCAGTTGGTCTAAGAAGGTGCTATGCTTGGCCCACCGAAGCCTCCTGAGATTGGGGGGGCTGCTATAGTGACCTGGGTGCGGGTGGGGTGGAGATGCAGTTGGCTGCACCAGGACAGGAAGGACAGTTCACCCCCAAGCTTCCTGCGCTATTTAAAGATTCCTTTAATCTGGCATAGTGGACTTCCCACATTTTTGGTATTAAAATGTCCTGTGACCACACTGCTTGTGTTTTAACTTCCTTTTTTGATAAAAAATTGGCATCTCTGTCAGACACTAGTGGTTTTGGGGTCCCCTGCGGTGGGGGCTGGGTGGGCCTGGTATGGATGTGGTTCAAGGCTGAAGGAATGAAGGTCTGGCCTGGCTGGTTGGGGTGGGAGGTCAGCGGAGATGCTGAAGGAGTGAGTGACACCCTCCTATCCTAAATGCTTTATCTGGGGGCCAGTCCCATGGGTGGAGCGCTCCCAAGGAGTAGATATCTGCCTGAAGGAGGGGCGGTGACAGACACAAGCAGACTGTGCAAGGAGGGGATAGATCTGGGTGGAGGGAAGGTCCCCAAGGAGGGGAGGGGCATCCCAGTGTGAGGCTGTGGGTTAGGGTTTGGGGAATGGTGCTCATCTTCCCTGGGTCCCCAAATGCTGCTCACCACCCGTCCTGTCCTGGAGACTGCCTGTGAGGGGCCCGCAGGAGCACGCAGGGTTCCCACTTCTCAAATCTAGGAGGCCCAGGCCAGAAGTGGGGCAACCTCAAGTACAGAGGTGGGAGTCCCCTGAAGGCTCAAGCTCACCACCCACCTCCAACCACTGAAAAGCCCACTTGGTGGGTCCTGGGTCCCCAGGTGCCCAGTGTGGGAGGGGGAGGAACAGCTGGGAGCCTCCCATTAGCTTGTGAGGAGACTCACAGGCGCCTTCTTCCCCCAGAGGAGGTTGGGGTGTTGAGGCTCCTAGGAACGGGTTAAGGCCTAGCAGCCTCCATCCCCGGGAAAGGCAGGGGTATGGCCGGCCTGTTCCCAGTCTGAGGGTGGGGGTGTTCTGCGAGGGCTCCGGGGTCCTTGCTGCTCTGGTCCAACGCGATCCCCCTGCGTCGAGGCCGGGTTCCCCTGTGACCCGGAGCGCTCCCAGGGTGGTGGCTAGGCCAAGGGGCGCTCGCTGCCTGACGCGAACCTGGGCCGAACCGGGTCCAATCTGCCCGGCGCTTCGACGCGCCCACTGGAGTGGTGGGGGCGCCGGGGACGAGCGGGGCTCTCGGGGAGCGGCCAGCCCGTCTCTCCCTCCCTCGCCCTCTGTCGCCCTCTCCCCTCCCTCCCTCCCGTTGGGGGCGGGGCTGCTGCTCCCGCGCGCTCCGGCCCCTCCTCGGCCACACAAAGGCCCGTCTCCATGGCAGCCGCGCGGGCCGGAGCGCAGCGCCGATCGCGGCCCGGGCGCCATCGAGTCTTGGCGGCGGACGTGCAGGTACGGAGATCTGGGTACACGGCCCTTGGGGCGGCCGCGCGGGTCGAGGGGTTTCGCCCTTAGCGCTGCTCCGCCCCGGCCTGCCGCGCTCGGGGCGCGGGACCCGGGTAGCTGCCACCCCGTGGAGGGCGACTCGGGCCTTGGCTGCCGTCCGTGTATCCATCCGGCTGGGACGGGCCGCTCCCGACTCACGGTCTTCCAGGTGGCGGGCGAGGGCGAGGGCTTCGGCACCAGGGGGGGCGGGCCTGGCGCAGCGAGGGTCCTCAGCGGGGCGCAGCGACCCCTCCCGCCTCCCGCGTCCCTCTGAAACCTCTTGCGCCGGCTCTGGTCCCCAAGTCCCCTCTCCGCCCATACCCCTTCTCTTCAGCCCCTGGGATCCATGCCCTGGGCGGAGATCGTGCCTGTTTTGCCGAAGCTCCCGCACCCATCCACCTAGCCATGGTTTTAGGGTGGCCAAACCGGGCTTTTCCCAGGGGTCTGGACCCGTCGGCAGGCCTTGGCACCCCCCGGCAACACACACACACCCTGGGACTCCTTGTGAGGAGGACGGGGCTGGGCCTGGCCAGGCTGGAATGCGGTGGGACCAGGGTTCTGAGTTGGACTAGGGTCGACCGAGCACCGGCGCCTGGAAGTCTTGGTGGCCCGGGCCTGCTTCTCCCAGGGCCTGGTTGGACAGTTCTTGTTGTGGTCTGTTGCTGTGGTGTGAGGGTGAACATTCTGGGACCCAGGAAGTCTCAGAACCGGGCAGGGGTGGGGAGTGTGCTCAGTGCTTGGGCCCTGCACCTCTGTGTGCCTCTTCCTGGAGGGAGCCCTCTTGGATAGGCCCTTCCCACCTCTCTGCTCAGCCTGCCTGGCCGATTTGAAGGGTCCCTGAGTTCAAGAGCCCCAGAGCTTCCTGCTTTCTCATGAGGTTCCTCTTCCCAGTCACGTAGAAAAGGAATGAAGGGGTCTCTCTGTGCCCACCATGGCTGGTGGAGGGGATCAGGACTGGGGATGAGCTGGGCCTCAAAGCTGGTGGAATGTATTGGGGCCTGAGAGGCTCTCTAGGGAGCTCCCCTTTATGTTTAACTTTAGCCTCTGCGCTCCACCCCCCACCAGGGCTGTGCCCGTGGAGAGTGGGAGAGCCCCGAACCCTGGGGTGGGGGTCTCAGCCCACCCCCACGCCCAGATGTTACCTTAGCTTGGAGGGGAGAGCCATCGGAGGGCCTGAGAGTGGGGCAGAGGGTGGGGCTGTCCCTTTCTTGCCGGGGGCACGGTCCCCAGAAGGGTAGGGTCAGCCTGGGTGAGGCCTGGCCTGCTGGGTATTTTGGTGATATGACGGCTATTAGGAATTCCCAGAGAAGATTGAGCACAAACAGGTGGGCTCAGCAGATCCGACCCTCCGACCTCCCCCCACCATACCTACTGGGGGCCCAGTCTGAGGCTGGCAGGAAGCCTGAGGTCTGGCCAGGGGTTTCTCGCCCCAGGAGGGGAGGGAAGTTGCTGAGAAAAACAGGGTTTGGAATTCGAGTCCCCCTCCCCCTCAGGCTGCCTGCCAAGAAGGAATTATTTTGGATTATCCAGCCGTGTCCAGCCACCCAAGGGGGGAGGCTGCAGTTTGAGAGAGGGATCCACTTCCGGGGCGTGGGTTGAGAGCCCCAGGAGTAAGAGACAGGCAAGTCTGGGCAGCTCCCCCCTTCCCCCAAGCTGTTCTGAGGCTGCTCAGACCGGTCCTGGGGGGATTGGGGGGAGGGATGTGTCACCCTCGGGTTGGAGAGCGCCCAAGGTTGGCCCCAGCAGGCCCTGCTGAGCCAGCCTTGGGGAGGCTGTGGGGCAGGAGGAGCCCTGAACCCTGTCCAAGGGACCAGCTGGAGGACCCTCTTCATCCTCAGAGGCCCTCAAACCATGCATGGCCTTGAGCAGGGCTCAGGGACACGCCTTGAGTGGGTTACTCACACCCTCTGCTTACCAGAAATGACAAGGAGCAGGTAGGGGTGTGACTGAGGCTACTTAGGGTGGGGCACTGAGGTCTCCCATGGGCTGAAGCTCAGGCCACCCACCTGCCCCTGACCAACCCACTGACAAGCCGCTGCCATGCCCGGCCTCTCTCCA